CAGACCCCAACCGGGCGGGGGAACCCCCCGCCGCCCCGGGCTGAGGGAGGGAGGGACGGAGGGACGGAGGCTCCTCCGCTTCGGCCCGGGCCTCACCTTCCCCTTCAGGTCCAGCACATACACGGCGCTGGCCGACATCGCCCCGCCGCCGCCTCCCGCACTCCCAGCCGCTTCCGCTTCCCGCACCGGCACTTCCGGCAGGAAGTAGCGAAACGAGACCCGGCTGCTGCGGCGGAGGGATACACAGCAGGTTCCGCCGCGGATGAACATCTTAACTGACCAATGTAAAATAGCCCCGGGGTCTTTTTTCCCCGCTGGGAAATGGTCCCGGAGCGCTGGGATCAGCTCCAGGAGCGGGGCTGGGGCCGCAGCCCACGGGGCAGGACTGGGCTGGCTGAGGGGGGCGCCCCGGGCAGACACAGAGCACCCAGCACCCAACCAGCGACAGTAAAGGGACAATATTTGGGTTTAAAAACAATATTCGGGTTCAAGAGGCACATTAGGAGTTTAAATGTCACTATACACATCCTGTCTCAAAGGGAGCAAGAATGGTAAAGGTGGGCAAGGCACTTAAAAACCCCCCCACGCCGTCTTGTTAGTGCACTGCCCTGATTATAGGTAATTCAGCACCAAAAAAAGGATTAAAGCAGCATTTTAATAAAAGTTACATCAAAGATACAAGTTACAGCAGACCCCCCCCCCCCAACCTCTAAAAGAATTCCAGACAGAAATAAATTACTCAATTCCTATAACTTAGGAGAGAAGCTCAGGCCATGTGAGACTGCCAAATACTCTTGACTTTTTCCAAAAAGGAATTGTTACCATCAAACTAAAAAGTAACATTTTCCAGCAATTGATTTTGGCTTTAATCCTGCTTTAAGCACTAAAAAAAAAATAAATTAAAAAAATCCCTGTACACCTACATAAATCAGAGTTCATCAGCCAAGAACAGACTTTGTTGAGTATCTGGTTTAAAAAACAAAAGAAAACAAAACAATGAAATAAGACAGAACAAAGTCATAAAGGTTCAGAAGATATATTAAACATTCGGTCTGGAGAATACACAGATTTACATGGCAACCCTGTTCAGTACAAACAAAACCCAACCCCAGATCCAAAGCCTGGAAAAGCAGTCCGTTCACTTCGTCCAGCTGACTTTAGGAATGTCGTAATGCTCAGTCAGAGTATCCAAGTGCCTGTTGAAGTCCTGGGGGACACAATGAGAAAGAAAATGTTTAATATTTGGGGTTGACATCACCGCTGTTGAACCATGAGACCCTCTGCCTCCCTGCTTCTGTGTTTCAGAAAGGGGAGACAGTTCCTCCAGCCCAGCAAGCCTACGTGCTGATAAACACATGATAAATGCTGAGTAAATCGGGATAACGTAGCTCACCTCCACTCTCTGCTTATGGGTTTTCGATGCTTTCTTCAGGATCCTCTCCATTTGCTGGAGAAAGACACAAGAGAGGCCGGTTACTTCCAGCACCCGTAGCCCCTCAGGAGCCGCATCTGTGGGGTCGATCGGGGTTTTTAAATCCCCTCCCTGAGCCCTCGGACGGGCTCTGACCCAGGCCGGGCAGCCCTACCCTCTTCTCCTGCATCTTCTCGTAGGCCACCTGCGCCGGGGTCCGCTTGTCCAGGCCGCGCTTCTTCTCCTCCTCCTGCTTCTTGCTGCTCACGATCTGCTCCAGGATCTGGGCCTTGTCCTTCGCCTTCTTCTTCTTCCTGGGGGCAGAGGGTGGGCAGTGCCCAGACCCGGTTCCCGACCCGGTTCCTCCTCTGGTTTCCCCCGACCCGGTCCCCCCCTCCCCG